GTGCAGCAGGAGCCCTGGGAGAGCAGAACAAGGAAATCAGTGATTTAGAGACTTTCCAAGCCAGGGATGGTGCTGTAACACCTGGCTCAGCCCCCTGAGGAATGAGCAATCCTGCAGAAACAGCCCCAGCCCTCTGCCTGCAGCCCAACACCAACATCTTTGGGGCAGCCACGGGAGCTGTGTGACAAAGGAAAACACTGCCCTTGAGCCCTGTTATCCCTGTAGGCTTTTCCTGGCTGCTGGCAGAGATGGAATGTTGCCCTGAGCAGCCAGTGGGGATAGAGAGGACTTTCCTTGGGCAGATTTGTTGCAGATTTTGTCTCTGCTTCCCACCGGGAGCACGTCTGTGCTCTCTGCCATGCTCACAGCCTGGCTGTGACACACAGACCCAGCTTCTCCTTAGCTGGGGGTGCTCAAGGGATGGCCACAAATGCTTGTCAGAGCCAGCCTGCAGTGTCACCACCCTTGGAATGCTCTGAACTAAGACTCAGTGAATTCTCCCTTGACACTGGGCTGCTGAGCAGCCTGGCCAGGGAGGGGACCCTCCTGGAAAAAGTGGTCATTGTTCCCTTTGGTGGGGCAGCTCAGAGACCTGAGCTCAGCCTGGCAGGACATTGATGCCCCTGTTTGCTCTGCGGGGTTTGCCAGGGAATATTTAACCCGCTGTGTGAGGGTGGAGGTAAAACAGAGCAAGGTGAGGGCTCCTCACCAGCTCCCTTCCCCAGCAGCCTGGATCTGCAGTGCCAGCAAAGCAAGCTCCAGGCAGCCTGTCCTGCACAGAGCAGATGGAGACACTTGGATCCTCCCTTTATCCCCCTGGGACAGAGCCTGAGCTCCTGGAATGTGGCAGTGTGTGTGTTTGTGGGTGAGCTGTGCCTGCCAGTGCTGTCCTGCTCCAAACAAGAGCCCAGCATGGGATGGCATTGAAATAAAATCCCATTTCCCAGGATGTGGGACAATGCATTTAAGCTGAAGGAGGGTAGATTCAGAATAGGTATTAAGAAGAAATTCTTGTCTGTGAAGAAGCCGTGGCTGCCCCTGGATCCCTGGAAGTGTCCAAGGCCGGGTTGGATGGGGCTTGGAGCAACCTGGGATAGTGGGAGGTGTGGGCTTGGATCAAGATTAACTTTAAGGTTCCTTCTATTCCAAAGCATTCTGTGATTCCACGGTTCTGTGACATGACTTCGATGCTGCTTTGCTCTTGTTTTACCTCAGCTGACCAAGCCCGTCCCTCAGCTCCAGGGTGCAGCTGCAGTTGGAGTGTGTGCTGTGCTGAATCTTTTATTAGACATGAGAAAATCCACACTGCTGGGAGTGCCTGGGTTCTGAGGAGAGCTAGAGCTCACACCTGACGAGACAGACAGCAGAAAAACTGCCCAGTGCTGCAGCTCCCCAGCTGAAAACCTCACTGATTTTCCTTAGCTCTCCCTCCCATTCCCACCTCTCTCCCCTCTGCACCTGCTGATGTTTCCATGCCTGTCTCCCCCTCTGGCCCTGGCTCCAGGTGTCCAGATGCACTTTCCACTTTGCCAAGATGTCACAGTGCACAGCCATTGCCTAGGGAAGGTTTCACATTGCAGCCACAGGCTATTTCTACATCTGCAAGGTGAAGAACTGAGAAATACCACAAAAACCTTCTCTCCAAAGCCTCAAACCACTTGTAAACAGGGTGTTAATGACAATGAACTCAGCACAAGACCAGACACTACCCACAGAGATGAAATTTCAGACAGAAGATGAAGATGCAGACAGAAGATGAGCAACAGGACCAAGACTGAGCAGGAAAGCAAAGACCAATAACGGAAAACTGAACTTTCTGTGTGAGAATTGGAAAGAATATTCCAGTGGCACCCAGGGAAGAAATGAAAGGATTATTTTGGATATTATAGACATCACTTGATAATATTTTTAATCCTTCTCCGGACCATTCAGGGGTTCATGCTCTGTCTCTGGCAGGAATTTACTCATATCTTATAAAATACCTTTGCACAGCCTGACAAGCTCTTCTTGGGTAGTTTGAATCTGAGAGCCTGGATCACTTTTATCACCTTTCTCCTGCTCCAAGACACCTCTGTGAGCCTCGGGCTGGAGCTCACCCATGTGAAGAGACTGCCAGGTTGGAATGGGGACAAAAGGGTTCTTGCAGAGATTTCTGATGGCATTGGAGACATCCTGGGCTGGAGGCCAGTGAGGAGAGCACCCCACTCCTCCCCTGGGGCTGTGACTGCAATCCCTGGTGTCCATGCTCAGGAGGGCAGGTCCTTTTCTGTCCAGCTGTGCTGGAGGAGCTGCAGGGCCCATTTCCCAGCGGTTTTGGTGGGTGCTTTGTAAAACTGTGGATGTTTTGTAAAACCATGGCTGCTCATGGAGATCACGCTCTCCCTCCATCCCCCGAAGAGGCTCAGCTTGGTGGCACAGCCCCAGCCTGCTCCCCAAAGCAAGGGAAGAGTTTCCAGTGGCTTCGTGGAGGAGATTATGGAGCCAGGGAACAAATTTGATGTGTTTGTGTTCAGCAGGAACAAAAAGGGCCGTGGTGGCCAGTGCAGAGGAAGCTCAGCTCACAGCCTCTTGTTATGTTCACCCTGGGCTTGGCCACGTGCTGCAACTGGCCATAAAAATATCCATTTCCTTTCTAATTTGAGCTGCAACACTTGACACTTTGGCCTTGGGTGATAATGCAATGTACAAGTGCTCAGCAGACACCCTGCAGCCCTTCTTCCTGCTTTGCTCTAGCACAAATAATCCAGTTTTCACTTCAATAAAATATTAACAGCCAAGGAGTCTAATAGCTTTCATCTGTATTTATTTCCTGGTTATCATCTCATTAACAGGAATCTGCTGGTTCTGCATGGAGTTCCTGGGATCTTGGAGATACCAAGCTGGAGTTCAAGCAAGGGGAAAGAGTTTTCCTTCAACTCCAGTGAAGTTATTGAATAAATGGCTTTTTTCCCCTGTGGTTTAAAATGGGCTTTGTGTAATTATAGCACATGTAACTTGGGAACCATGAAGGAACTGGACCAAGCCTGATTAAACTTAAATTATTTCTAGGGCTTACTAGCCTTGAGTTCACAGGGTTCAGGTTGTGAAGATGGAGATATTTTCCACAGCCCAAGGTTTCCCATCCAGCTCCAGTGCAGTCCTAGAGGGGTGCAGGTCTCCCATGGACCTCCATCCACCATCCCCATGGAAAAATCCCAGACACCTTAGGGTTTCTGCACTAACATTTCTGAGACTGGGTCATCTCAGCCAGTTCCCTTCTTTCTCAGTCTGGGAGATCGTTTATTGTCATTAAATCCTCCTTTTCCCTCAGGGGGACAACTCCTTTTTCTCCCAGGCTCTTGTGCAGGTGGAATGAACAGGTAATTCTGTGTCATGCCTTGGGCTTGGTTTGGTGTTTTTTCTCATACACATGACATAGAATCATGGAAAGGTTTAGGTTGGAAGGGATTTTAGGGATCATCTCATTCTATGATTTCTCATCCCTGCTATGAGCAGGGACATCTTCCACTATCCCAGGTTGCTCCAAGCCCCATCCGGCCTGGCCTTGGACATTTCCAGGGATCCAGGAGCAGTCACAGCTTCTCTGGGCACCCTGTGCCAGTGTTTTACACCCTCATTTCAAAAAAACCTCTTCCTTATATCTGGTCTAAATCGACCCCATTTTAGTTTAAAAACATTACTTCTTGTTCCATCACAACAGATCCTGGTACAAAATCTGTCCCCATCTTTCTTACAAACCCCATTTGAATGTTTTAGGGTCTACTGGAGATTTCTCTTTCCATCTCTGCTGTCTCTTTCCCATAGCATCCCTTTCCACTGTGAAGTGCACCCTCTACAGCTGGACTCAAAATCTGCTTCATGGAGAAGAAAACAGCAGATGAAACATCCTGGGGATGGTTCTGGAGTGTTCCCCCGTGCCCCAGCTCACTCCTGTGCTCCTCACATTCCTCCCACGTGCCATCTGTGCCCTTTTTCTTTGCCCTCCACTCCTCATCCCAGTGAAACTCCTGACTGGAGCCCAGCCTGAAGCCCCTTGTGGGCATTCCCCCGGATTGGAGCTTCACCAGAAACCAGGGAAATGGCATTTGAGGGTTCATTTGAACCCTCTCTGCGCTGGGTGTGAAGCAGGACCTGCCGCGCTGCTGCACGGGGAGTTTGTGCAGCGAAGGCTCAGCCAAGCGAGGAAGGGTTTTATTTACGAAGTTGATTTTTTTTTTTTTTTTTTTTTTTTTTTTTTTTTTTTTTTTTTTGAGTTTTCACTTCCCGAGAGCCTTCCAGATTCGCTGGGAAGGAGGGACATCTCGTGGCCACATCACGAACATCTCTCCTGCTCCCCGGGCATCCCCCCATTCCCTCCCCGGGTACCACCCCAGGATCATCCCTCGACCTCTCCCTTCTCCTCCAGGGGCTCGCGGTGGCCACGGGGAGGACAGGGGCTCGCTCACACCCTGACGCCCCAATAAAGAAATGGGAAATCCTCGTATCCAGTTTTTTATTACGGACTTGAGGCAGAGCGGGGGCATCACCCGGCAGGAGCGCTCCGGAGCTGGTGTGACCCCAGGAGCCGCGGGCAGGACACGCTGCCAGCCCTGCCCCTGGCACAAAGCGGGTGTGCTATGGCCAGCAGTGGCATCAGAGCGGGGCAGAGATTCTTCATCCCCACACCACCCTCTTCCTGCAGCTGCAGGTGCGGAGCTGAGGGGCTTTTCTCTATCCAGGTGGGTCACGAAGGAGTTTTCTTCGTGCCGGAGGTGATGCCTGCCAGGCGGGCACAGCCCTCTCAGCCACCTCTTCAGTCTCTGCGACAACCACAGAGCTGGCAGCATCCTCCTCGCTCATGTCCCTCCTCATCCTCATCCCCATCTCCACACCAGCGGACGGGAGGAAGGGAAGCGCCCGCACCGAGGCACCGCCGGTGGTGGCTGTCCTGCAGTAATGTCCCTGCTGTCCCGCAGGGCTGTCCCTGCTGTCCTGCAGCGATGTCCCCAGGGGCTGTGGCTTCACTGCTGCGGCTCGGGCTCGTACTGCTTCTCCGTGGAGGTGTAGAAGTCCTCGAGCACCGACTGCAGGTACTCGAAGGTGGGGCGCTCCTCGGGGTTGGTGCGCCAGCATTTGAGGATGATGCTGTAGAGCTCCCCGGGACACATCTCCGGGCACGGCATGCGGTAGCCCCGCTCCAGGTTGCGAATCACCTCGGGGTTGGTCATCCCTGGGGAGGAACACAGCCCAGCAGGAGTTATTCAGCATCCAGGGAGGAGGGAAAAGGTCAGTGCTCCCAGCAGATCCCACCCCGGCTGGGCTGGAGGGGCTGCGGTGATTCCTGTGTCTGGGAATCTTCCCTTCCTCAGGGTGGTGCTTCCCCTCCATCCCTCTGTCCCCTCCCTGATTCCCCTCTCTAAGTTTGGCTTTGAGAAAACAGCTTTGAAGGACCTCTTGTGACAAGAGGGACATTGAGGGGCTGGAGCATCCAGGGAAGGGAACAGAGCTGGGGAAGGGGCTGGAGCACCAGGAGAGGCTGAGGGAGCTGGGAAAGGGGCTCAGCCTGGAGAAAAGGAGGCTCAGGGGGACCTTGTGGCTCTGCACAACTCCCTGACAGCAGGGGACAGCCAGGGGGGTCGGGCTCTTCTCTCAGATAACAAGAGGAAACGGCCTCAGGTTGTACCAAGGGCCATTTTGATCAGATATTAAAACCAATTTCTTCATGGAAAGGATTGTCCAGCCCTGACACAGATGTCCAGAGCAGTGGTGGAATCCTCGTCTCTGGAGGGATTTACCAGACAGGTAAATGTGGCACTTGGGGACATGGATCAGTGGTGGCCTTAGCAGTGCTGGGTTAATTCAATTTAGAGACCTTTTGCAACTTAAACAATTGTGTGATTCTGAGACAGCTGTGTGTGTCTGAGCACTCCAGTGAGTGCCTCCAAACCTAGAGCAACACTGGATCCCTGGAAGTGCCTGGATAAGGGATCCTGTACCTGGATAAGGGATCCTGTACCCGGATAAAGGATCCTGTATCTGGATAAGGGATCCTGTACCCGGATAAGGGATCCTGTACCTGGATATGGGATCCTGCCGTAGGTGATGATCTCTGTCAGGAGGATCCCGAATGACCACACATCAGATTTGATGGTGAAAACCCCATAGTTAATGGCCTCTGGAGCTGTCCATTTGATGGGAAATTTGGCACCTGTCCCAAAGGAAACAAAGAGAAATAAGTCCTGGAGTTAAAGCGTCTCCCTTACTTGTCATAGGCACAAGAATTCCCCAAAACTGATCCCTGGTTCCTTTGGGCTGTTGATTATGGTTCTGTAATTCTTCCTAGGTGAGGGGCTCTAGCCCTTTGATTTTCTGCACATCCTTCCCAGGATCTGCTTCATCCCAGAGCTGGATGGAATATTCAAAACCAATTTGGCAGATTTATTATGGGACAACAACGGTAGGATTTTACTCTGTATAAAACTTTTTGGCTTCCACTAGAAAAATTGGATCAGATGATCCTTGAGGTCTCCTTCCAACCTGGTACTCTGTGATTCTGTGAAATCACTTATTAGAATGGGGTTGTTTTTAGCAAAAGTGCATAAATATTACAGTAAATATAATTTCCTCAGTCTTTAAAGCTTCATATTTATATTAAAACCAAAATAAGCCCCATCTTATTTTGTACACCAAGATCTTGTTTAACCCATTGTGGACAGCAATGACCATAAGGTTGCAATTTCAGTTTATCTAAGACAGAAAAAAATAAACAACAAACAACCAATAGCAAAACCACCTTGGTAAGTGGGAACCGATTATGTTATGCTGCAGAGGAAACCACATTTTTATTTATACACATCCTTGCAGGACTGGAAATCCAGGGTGTGAAATAAGCACCTCAGGTGTTGCACATCACACTCTGAGTGACAAGGCTGGGAAATGCAATCTATTAATTGTTCAAAGCAGATAGAGGTGAGCTGTTGTTCCAGAGCAAAGCTAGCTGGAAAAATGCTGATGGGAGCTGCTTTCTGCTGGAAAAGCAACTCCTTTGCTTATTAACAGAATTATACTGACTTAATCAAAGTTTCTCTTAAGGATAAAACTGCCTTCAAAATTTGCAGCAAAGTCAAAATTCTCCTTCATGGCAGTTTCTGAATTACATTTGGGATCTTTTACTACTCTGAAATAGTTTTGCATGTTGAAATGAGTATAATTTGTGTCAAAAAGTATTTTGGGGATAGGAAATTGAAAGGAATGTTTCCTATCTAATTAAAACAGCCAAAAAAACTATTAAATTTCATTTCCTCAGAGTATATTTTAGGGGGAATTTTATCTCATCCCAATTCTAGAAGGGGACAGATTTCCAAAATTTGAAAATCTTCCGGTAAGTGCCACTTATGCCTGACTGAATTGTTTTATTTCAGTCACTTCTAGTGCTTTCCCTAATGCTCTGTAAAGTCCCTTTGCAATGTGAATGATTTGATCTCATACCTGACCTCAGAGTCGGAGCTCAATACAGGCATGATCTCAGAAGTCTTTTCCAAACGAAATGATTCTCTGATTTATTGTTTTCTAAGCAGTCCCTCTGCTATGGAAGGGACCTGATGTGGTCAGGGCTTGGCTTGCCTGGGCACATCTGGAATCTGCTGCTGGATCCAGATTTGTGGCTCCAGCTCTGTTATTTCCTTCCCTCTGGACCGAATCCCTGTGAAAACCTGGCCACAGGCAGCAACTTTCATTTAGCAGAGATCAAATTTCTCCAGCAAACAACTGGAGAGTCAGCAGGACTCCCCCAAACAGAACCAGGAGAATTTTTTTCCCATTTCCAATTGCAGTTTTCAGTTGTTTTTATAATCCCCAAGCACTGCTGCCTCTCCTAGAAATGGATTTTTTTGGGAGTGTTTCCGTTTCTCTGCCTGACAGCAGCAGCCACGTGGTGCCCTGTGCCTGATGGCAGCCTGCTATCCTGGCATTCCTGGGGGCAGGAGGGTGGGAGATAAGGGAGATAAGGACACGCACCTTCCTGAGCCAGGTACTCGTTCTCGATGAGCCTGGCCAGACCGAAATCAGCGATTTTGCAGCAGAGCGTCTCCGAGACGAGGATGTTGGCAGCCCGCAGGTCCCGGTGGATGAAGTTCATGCGCTCGATGTAGGCCATGCCCTCTGCCACCTGGGAGGGGAGGAAGAGCCCATCTTCATCATCATCACCTCCCCATTTTATCTCGGCTGGTTTTCACCCACTTTTACAGAGCACGGCGTTTTTACAGGGTTGTTGTTATCTCTCCGTGCCCGTGGATGTGCCCGAGTTCCCCATGGATGGATGGACAGGTGGATCAGCAGACAGGTAAATAAATCGATATTGCCCTGGTACAGGTGCAGATATTCAGCTTCACCAGCCTGAGCAGCCAAGTGAAGCAGAACAGAAGCACCACTCTCTGTTTTGTTCAGAAGTCACAGCCCTGAGTTGTGTCTGCAGCGAGAGCTGAAACCACATCACTGGATTCCCAGTTTCTGCCACAAGTCTCTGCTCTCCAGTGGGGATTTTAGTCATAAACATTCCAGATAAAATATGTGAATTAAGAAAAGAAAAAAAAAAAAGACCACAAAAATCAAACTAGCAAATCATTGAATTATAGAATGGTTGAAAAGGATTTTAGGACCTTAAAGATTCTCTCATTCCATCTCCAGCCATGGGCAGAGACATTTTCACTATCCCAGGTTGCTCCCAACCCTGCCCAACCTGGCCTTGGACACTTCCAGGGGTCCAGGGGCAGCCACAGCTTCTCTGTACAACCTGTGCCAGGGGCTCCCCACCCTCACAGGAAAGAATTTATTCCTAAAATCTAATTAAAGTACCTGGTGTGTGATGAGCCTCTATCAATGACAGTGGCAATATTTCATTGATGAGTGCTGGGGTTGAAAAGGGAGATTGGTAGAAGACAGAAATTGCCAGGTTGAGTCTCAGGTTTGGATTGGGCATTTATTGGGAAGGTGAGTGTGTCTGTGCAGCCCCTGCCGTCCAGGGGTAGCACCTATTAAAGCTTTTCAGTGCCTGTGGGTGAGGGCAGAGCAATTTTCCACTCCATGCAGATTCACATGAGCCTCAGAAATCACATGTGGTTTCAAACAGGATACTCACACGTACTTTCCAAAGCTGCATTTCTAACCTGTGTCAACACCCCTCTAGTGCAAGGGCTGCTTTCTGCAGTGGAAAATGGAAGAATTGATGTAATTTCCTGTCCTGATGTTAATGAGATAGGACCTGGTGCTCGGCCCGTTCCAGCCCAGAGTGTTTTGAAGCATTTACCCTCAAGACTGACCACAGGATCCAGTGCCTCAGCCCAGGCTGTTCTAATTTTAACTCATCAGATCAAAAACTGCACACGAGAGGGTTGGGCGCCTGCTAGGCTGTGACGTGACCCCAACACCACAGACAAGCAGATTGCAAAACAGCTCAGCAGACTTCCCTTTCCTCCTGCTGCTCCTCCCAGAGATACCCAGGGAATGTTTGAGTCCCTGCCCTGGGAGGTGGTGCTGGGGTGGGAGAGGGAAGGATGAAAGTTGTTCTTCCAATTGATGCCAATGCCTCAGGGATGGGTAAAATCCTTCCTACCCCATGCTGAGGGTGACTCCTGTGGGTTTTGCATCATTGGGGTGTGGGGGTTTGGTCTGTGTTCAGTTATCCTGGTCCTGCTGTGTGGTGCAGTTTGCCCAGAGAAGCTGTGGCTGCCTCATCCCTGGAAGTATCCAGGGTTTGGACAGGGTTTGGATAACCTGGGATAGGGGAAGGTGTCCCTGCCCATGGCAGGAGGTTGGAATGAGACGATTTTTCAGGTCCTTCCAACCCAACCCACTCCATGGTTCCATGATTTTGTAACTTTGGCCAAAATCTTTGCTCTGAGTCACCCAGAGATTGCTCTGGCTGCAGCAATTTCCTCCTGCACAGAAATGCATCTTGCTAATTTCTGGGAAATGCTCCCACTAAACCTAAGGGCTCTGTAATATAGATTAATTGGGATCATTTTCTTTATCCTCAGGAATTGAAAACAAACCACGGGCTATAATTTTTAAGAGAGGGAATAAAACAATAAAAGATGGAGGGAGGGAAGTGGGGATTTCAGGAGAGGAGGGAAGGAGGGAAGTAATTGAGTCAAATACCCTAAACAGGGAGGGTGAATTTGTCCCCATAACATCTCACAGACAACAATGATGAAGCTGAAGATACGCAAAATTTATCAGTAGTGGAGAGGGAAGGAACAGAAAGAGGTTCCCCTGCACCCCTAAGGACGGTTCAAAGTAAAAATTACAGAAGTGGCACTGCTTCAAAGAAATTAAATCTTTTCATCCTGGTTAAAGCAAGAAGGAAAGTCTTTCACTATTATAAAACATTTCCTCAAATGTTAAGATTCTCCAGTTGCTAATTCATTTAAAAAAACTCTGTTTGAGGGCTGGAACCAGCAAGCTTTACACGTTGTTTCCTTAAGTCCACTTCGACAAGAGAAGCTGAGTGATTTTATGGATAAATCCCAGACCTTTATTCAGCCTAATGCTTCAGGGCTTTTTTCCCCCAATATTTCCTAATTAGCCTAACTGTGCTCTGGATGAGCCAAATTCTGTCAGCAGCTGGCTGGGACCAAAGTGCAGAGATTTTGCCATTCTCATTCTTCATGTGGTTCCCCTAATTTTGCCCTATTTGTATTTAGAGGCACTTCTGGATAAAAATGTTACACTGCAGTTGCAACTATTAAAATTTGCAGCCTGGGGATGCTTAAAAGTTAAAAGTTTGTTTTCCTAAAGAGCAATATTCCCAGATTTGAGGGTCAGAACATCCTTTATGCCTCATCATCAGAAGGGCAGAACTGCTGGTCCTGCTTTGGGAGTCTCTTGGTTGAGCTTTTTCTTCTTTTTTTGGTAAAAAGAAAAAGAAACTCTTTTTCCTCCTAGCAAGGCAGAAAAGCAAAATAAATAGAATCAGACTAAAATAAGCTGAACCACCCCCCAAAAAAAACCCAAACTCCAGACCTCTAGCCCTGCACTAGGCATTCAGAGGGCTGCCCTAAGGACAGAACTGATATGCACATGGACACCAGAGGGATGAGGAGAATCCCTAAGAGAACACACCAGGAGGAGCTGTTTTTCTCCAGGAAATCTTTGCTCTGCCTGACTGCAGGAATTCCACTGAGGCAATAACAAATCTTGGATCCTTTTCCCAGTGACTGTTCACTGACCTGAGCAGAGATATCAATGAGTTTGGGGAGATTCAGTTGGCTTCCTTCTTCTGTCTTCAGGAAATCCAGCAAACACCCTGCAGGAGAGGAGGGACTGCTGTAACTCTTCTGAATAATCTATACATTTGTTTTCCCTGGTGCTTCTCTGAATATATGCAACAAATCTGCCTCCATCCTAAGGAAAATCTGAGGAACCAGAATGGGTGTCCACTCGAGCATCTTCCATTAGGAAAGCTCCCAAAATTCCCCTCTGTTTTGCACAGATCTGTTGCAAACTGCTGGACATTCATTGTTTAAAGTGTTATAAACAAGATGGGCAAAAGAAAGGACAATTTTACCATGAGGGGAGTAAAAACCTGAAACAAACTTCCAGTGAGAACAGTGGAGGGAAGAATTTTAACTACTTTTCAAATGGAGCATCACCATAGTTTTTTCATCACCCAGAAAGTCTCCTTCTGTATTAGAATCAAAATTTTTTGGGTCACTTTCTTGAAGATTTGGTACAACCCCTCCTGCCCACCCTCACTCTGCATGGCAGCACTAGCCAGGTGACCAAACTGGTTCTGCAGAAGCCCAGAAAATTGCTCCAGGAGGGTTTTTACCATTGGCCATGTACTCTGTCACAATGTAGATGGGCTGCTTGGTGACCACTGCATACAACCGGACCAGTTTGTTGTGCTGCAGCTTCTTCATCAGGTTTGCCTCTGCCAGGAAGGCATCAGGATCCATGCTGCCCTCCTTCATGGTCTTCACTGCCACCTTGATGTTGTTCTTGTAGTAGCCTGCAGAGAGATTATGGTGTTTGGGGGAATTTGGGGCTCTCTGCAGGCTCTATGGGGTTGTGTAATAAGGAGAAGAGCTGATGGAGCAGAAAAGCACAGGAACAGCTTGAATCCCTCATGAAGAAACACGTGGTTAATCCCAGTGCCAGCAGGTGTGAGAGGAGAAGGGACACTCATGTCACAGCTGTCAATCCACGAGGCTGCACCAGGGATTGTCCCTGCAGTGAGCTCATCCCCACACAACCCTCCCAGACCCTGTCTGGGTGAAACCCCTGGGGCCTCCCACCAGCTGGGCCCTCCAATCATCCAAATGCCATCCAAAAAGGCAGGACTGTGCAGTCAGCACATGAACTCAGCCTGGTCCTGTCCACAATCTCGATTTCCAAGGCAACCAGCAACCACAAAGAGGGTGGCAAAGGAAGCTGAGCTCCCCCCACTTCCTCTCCTGCTGATTAGCAGTAGGCAGGAAGGCATCAGGGATGGAGATCTGGGGTAAAAAGTGGAACAGAGAGGCAGAAAAAGTGAGAAAATGTCACCCAGGTACCCTACTGGGTGTGACTTAGCATCACTGGCATCATTACAGTTGTGCCCAGGGTTCCCAGGAAGAATGAGTGCATATCCCAAGAGATGAGTAAATAGTGACCTCAACACCCATGTCCTGTGACACCCTTGCTCAACCACTGATCTGTGCAAACATGAGCTGTCCAGCTCTTCCCAGGAATCCTGCAGCTACCTCTGTGTGTGCCCATAAATATGTGTTCACCCTTAAGGATCCCCACTCCCAGAATAATTATTGCTTTAGGGAAATAAAAGGGAGTTCCATCTCCTCTCTTTATGTCTTTTTTTTAAATTTTTTTTTCTGGAATGCAGGGAATTCCACTTACCCATCCACACTTCCCCGAACTGCCCACTGCCCAACTTCTTCACAAGCTTCAGAGCCTCCCGAGGGATCTCCCACTCGTCCTGAGCCCAGGGTCTCTGGGGGACCAGGGATGTGCAGGGAGCTGTGAGGCGCTGGCACAGCCCATCCCCTTTCTCTGCATGAGGACAAAGCACAGCACAGCTCAACGGGATGGCACAGAAAACCTCCTGCTCCATCCACACAGGCCAGGAAAAAAACAACCCATGGAAACCTCCACAGCCACACGGGGCAGTGGTGGAGTGCCCAGCCCTGGAGGGATTGAAAAGCTGTGTGGATGTGGCACTTGGGGACATGGGTTAGTGGTGGCCTTGGCAGTTCAGGGGGAACAGTTGGATTCAGTGGTCTCAGAGGGCTTTTCCTCTAGGAAAAGCCTCCATCCTAAGGAAAATCTGAGAACCAGGATGGTTGTCCACTTGAGCATCTTCCATTAGGAAAGCTCCCAACCAGCCCAAATTCCCCTCAGTTTTGCACAGATCTGTTGCAAACTACTTGACATTCATAGTTTAATCTGTTCTTTATATACCTCCTCTGTGGTACCCATGTGGCCCTAAGTTCTAAAATAATGATAATAAACATCAAGGCCAAAGGCTGGACTTGATAATCTTAAGAGATCTTTTTCAACCTAAGTGATTCTGTGATTGTGTGAAGAAGAGTATGACAATGATGACAACAGCTATTCATTATTATTATTATTATTATTATTATTATTATTATTATTATTATTATTATTATTACTACTGCTACTACTATTACTATTGCTATTAACTATTATTAACTTCCATTATTGCTGGTGAGGGTGATGACGTTCTTTTATAATTTCATGATTTCATGAAAAATTTAAGCCACAGAGAATCAAGGCACCCAGAATGGTCCCAAAGGGAAAAAAATCTCAAAGGGAGCCATAGAGAAGTAAATTATCCTGCCCAGTAATTGCAAAGCCTGCTTCCCATGCATCCCTCCTGCACGTCCTGACAGCATTCACTTTTTTCCTTTCCTGATGGGAGACACTGCCTGACTTTAGGGCTGGAGGCAGAGCTCACCTTTGCAATTCCCTAGGATGGAAACCAGGACATGGATTCTGGCTGCAGGATCACAGCTGGCCCATGAGAGTGGGTGGAGCAGCTTTTGATTCCTTTTTGGCTTTTTTTTTTTTTTTTTTTTTTTTTTTTTTTTTTTTTTTTTTTTTTTTTTGATTGGGTTTTTTTTGGTGTGTCCCAAGCCTGTCCTCCCTCTGTCCCTCTGTCCCTCTGTCCCCACTCTCTTCCGGAACACAAATCGATGAGGGGAGGGGAAAACTCACGGCTGTAATGATGGATGAGCTCTGGCAGGCTGGAGAAAGTCATCCTGGGGGAGATGTAGTACCCCCCTCCATCCAGGGAGCGGATCCTGTAGTGTTTGATGACATCCCCGTGAGCAGAGTTGCTGTCTCTCACAGACAGGGAATAGGCATCTGGAGAGGGAGAGAAGGAGCTGTGAGGACAAACTGCACCCCTGTAATGGGTTAATTGTATTATTTAATTAGTGGTTTGGTTTTTTGGTTGGTTTTTTTGTTTGTTTGTTTGTTTGTTTTCACTTAGAGTTAGGATTAAAAACATGAAGGACTTAAAAACAAAGGGAATTTTCCAGCTTCCAGCTGCTTACTTTATGACATTTTCTTCAGGGAAGTCCTAACTCTGAGTCTTAACAGATGTTTTCCTTCCTCACACGTGTGCACCACCTATTTAGTGGTTTAATTTTTAATTTTTTAGTTGTTTTAATTTTCTTCTGTTTTCACTTAGAGTTAGGATTACAAACACGAAGGAGATTATTTTTTTTCTTGTTCAGACTTGGTTGTTTATTAAATCTTATTTAAAGTACAGAGAGTTCTATAACACTTCTAGCTACCAGCTAAAAGTGAGCAAAATGGAGACAAATCTAGTTAGTTACAAGGCCTTTTAAAGCTAAATTATCCAATTAAGAGCTAACACCTATATTATTTATACTTTTGACCTAATGACCAAATACCTGTGACCTTCAGTGCAGCACTAACTCTCCAACCAAAAACTGCTGCCTGAAAGTATGAAGAAGAAGGAAGAAAGCAGGCTGAGACAGCTCCCAAGAATCTCCATCTTGTCCCATACCTATTACTATATCATAAAAACCTCAAATTCAAAACCCTTCACCATGTGAAATCACACAATTCTATTCCAACTACACACCTGTGATTTTAACTCCATCACTCAAATTTGGAAGCCTTCTCCAAGGCCTCAACTCAAAGCAGTGTTCTGCTGGGGGTCAGTGTCAAAAAGCACAAAAAATTTTAGAACTCCCAAACTTCTAAGTCCCAACACACCCCAGTCAGGGACCAGCTGCCTCCTTTTCCTTTTTCCTTGGCTGTTGACATCTGCAAACCAGCCCTGGCTGATGCCTTTCCAGGGAAACTCCACCAGGGGTTCACACTTCCCTCTCTCCAAGGCAAGGGGACAGGATAAAAGCTCATCAGAGCTTAACTGATCCTGTCCAGGCTTCCTGGACTAACACCTGCCTGTGCTGTGGCCAGCAGCCCCATGGAAGCACTGTGGGGACAGCAGCACCTCTGCAGGCAGAGCAATCCGATGTTCCACAGGTCAGGATGGTCTTTCCACAGCTCCAGATTCCCATCTGAGCTCTGCCAGCCTCAGCAGCATGAAATCAGAGTGGTTTGGGTTGGAAAGGACCTTAAATTTCATCCAGTTCCATCCCCTGCCATGGGCAGGGACACCTTCCACTATCCCGGGTTGTTCCAAGCCCCATCCAGCCTGGCCTTGGACACTTCCAGGGATCCAGGGGCAGCCACAGCTTCTCTGGGCACCCTGTGCCAGGGACTTTCCACCCTCACAGCCAAGACCAAGAATTCCTTCCTAACATCCAATCTAAACCTGTCATCTTTCAATTTAAAGCCATTTAAAGCCATTTTCCTCTGCATTAAACATTACTAAACCTTGTGCCAAGGTCAGTGGTTCGGGGGTGGGGCGGTGCAGAAGGTGAATTCAGCAGAATTGTCTCGTTCAGCCACAAATTTGTCACTGTGGCTAAACCAGATCTAGAGATTCCCATCTGGAATCTTGTCTCTTTGGGGCTTCAGGGGAGCTGCTCAGCCATCCACCAGTGCCACCTGCTATTCCCTCCATGAGAATCTAAAGCAAGAGGTTGGGTTTTAGTGCACAAAAGCATCACTAGGTGTTGCTGCAGAGCAGAGCTTCCAGCCTGTGCCAGTGTGAGTCAATGCAGCTTAGCACTGGGGTTTTTTTCCCCTTTTTGTCTGGATCATATTTCTGGAGTGAGTTGTTACAAGCCTGCTGGGCTGTTCTGAGTCTAATATGTCACCTGGGCTGATAAACTGCCCGGTTTTGATTTTTTTTTTTTAAATGAAAAGACAAGGCTATACATGTTTAAAAGTGTGCATCTGTTCATGCAAGATCAAAAAAAAAAAGAAGCAGGGACATCCACAGCAACTCCAAAACTCTGAGGCTGCACGTGAGGGGAAAGTTTATTAACATAAAATCCTCACTGGCTGGTGTTTCTCCATCCCAGAACCAGCAGTTTTCCCTACATTGTGCCTGAAAAATGTTTGCTTTTATAAAAAGCAGCAAAAAAACCCCACCTCTGTGCATATTTGATCTGTTGGAGCAATCATAAATCTTTACAAGCAGAGTTTGGAAGAGCCTAAAGTTTTTCCAAGTGCCAGCAATCATTTTGAGGGGACTCCCTTCCTGCAGAGACCAGATCTGGTGGTGTAAAATTCATGGAAAAACCTGGTGGTGTAAATGCAGAGCCAGGGAAACTCTAATTTGATGTGGTGGTCTCCTCAGCAGAGGAAGCTCTTCTGATTCTCTTTCCTTCACCATGAATGTCAGGCAGAAGACAAATGGAGAAGCTATTTTGATTTGATCAGTCCTGCAGCTGAACAACTGAGAAACAACCCTGAAACATCTTCAATGGAGCAATAAAACCTCGAGGGAAAGGCAAAGAAATAATTCTGCTGGCTCCTCTGTGGTACCCATGTGGCCCTGAGTTCCAAAATAATGATAATAAACATTATTATCAAGGCCAAAGGCTGACTTGATTATCTTAAGGATCTTTTTCAACCTAAATGATTCTGTGATTTTGTGAAAAGAGTATGACAACAGCTATTTATTATTCTTATTCCTATTACTATTATCACTATTAACTATTAATAACTTCCATTATTGCTGTTGAGGGTGATGATGTTGTTTTAATTTCAAACAGACTGAAACACTGCCCAGGCCAGGCTGCAGCCCAGGAGAGTTGGGCTCATGTGGCACAAAACCCAGAGGGTGCCTGGCGTGCCTGGGACAAGGCTTAGGGTTTGTGTGGGATTTTTAAAGGGCAAAGCCTGCTCAAGGAAGGAGCCAAACGTGGTGTGAAGGCAGCTGCACTGAAGATCCTGCAGAAGGAAATCCAGGAGCTGATGACAAACACATCTGCAAGGGTTTGGGAGGCAGCAGGGAAGAGGAAACCTGCCCTGTTTGCCAGTGTGGTTGCATCCTAAATACTTTTCTCCCCCAGGATCTCCTTTCCAGCCCCCACCAGCCCTTTAAACTCTCCTGCACCTTCCAAACAGAGACGGGGCCAATCTCTCAGCTGCCACTGTTAATTGTTACCCTGCCATTAAGCTAATGACCCATCTCAGCCCCAGTCACAGTTTAGTTGGCTGCAGGGAGTGTGGTGGAGCTTCCCTGTCATTCTCCATGGCTGGTTACTGTTCCCTTGGGCAATGAACTGAATCTGGAAAGATTCAATCCTTCCTTCACAAAATCACAGAATGGTTTGGGTTGGAAGGGTCCTTAAAACTCATCTTGTTCCACCTCCTGCCATGGACAGACTCCTTCCACTAAACGAGGTTGCTCCAAGCCCCATCCAACCAGGTCCCTGCTCCCAGTGACAGCAGAAAATGAAAATCATTGACTCCTAGCTCCCTCTGATGACATCCAGAATAGACAAAAGGAGTTCTTTCTCCTGCACCACATCCTGGCACAGACCTGAGCTGGTAAGAAGACCAGAGTACAAAATTTATTGGAATAATTTCCTCATTAAAAAGTTGTCCAGCCATGGCACAGCTGCCCAGGGCAGTGATGGAGTCCCCACCCCTGGAAGGATTTAAGAGCCACGTAGATGTGGCACCTGGGGACATGGTTTGGTCCATTTCCTGCTCCTCCAGCTCTCAGCAGCCCCTTAAATCCTTCCCAACGGGAAGCACAGGAGCTGAGGCTGAGCTCAGTGAGGTCCCTCCTGCCAGGAGCAGAGACACAGGAATCCTGCTGGGAGCCAGGAGCCCGCGGCTCAGCACAGCTGGGGGAATGTGTCCCTGCAGATTTGGGAGTGATTGTTATGGCAGGGAGATTGGGTTTATTTGCAGCAGCTTCAGCAAGGACAGTGCTCCACCCGTGATTTCACTGCCAGCCTGCTTCCCACACTGTCCCCATCTTCCCAGGGTGCTGTGGACTCTGAGAAATGCTGACTGAAGATTTGCAGAGTTTCTGCATCCCAAACCATGAGGAAAACGAGGCTCTGCTCAGGACGGGCTGGGTAGAGGTGCTGCTGCTAGCCAGGGTGCAGAACCCATCCTGCTGTGCCTGACACATCCCAGTATGAGACAACAACCCCCCAGTTTAAGGCACTAATAAGAGTTGTTCAGCCCAGTGCTTGTCCCTGATGGTCAGATTTTGCTGGTGATGTGCCAAGTGAACGAAAACACACGTCATGGGGAAGGAAAACAGAAAAAAAACAGCAGGGATGCAAGGGCAGGGTTAATTCCATGGCATTGCTCTGGACATCTCTTGGTGGGCTTTACATCAGGAATTCAGCTCCATGGCACATTTGGAGATGCCTGGCTGTGTCTTCTCCCTTTCTCTTCAGGGAGGAGGAAGCTGTGGCTAAGGTGAATCAAACGTGGTCATTCAGGCAGCCCAAAGCAGAGTGCTCAGGTAGCAGCTGGACACTCAGGATGATTCACAGGATGAGGTGTTGGAAGGAATAATACCCATGTTTTATCCTAAATATCAGAAAAAGCACAGGGCAGAGACACATCTGAGCATTTGGGACTCATATGGGGCTTCCTTGGAGGGGAACCCACATCTGCTAATGCAGAATATCACACACCTCATTCTTCTTGACAGCAGAGACAGGGCATTGAGGATCTGGTGATTTCTCCTTGGATTTCAGGACTCCACCACCTCCTCTCGAGCCCTGTGTGACCAAGACCCACCCACACTCCCGATAATTGCAGAAGTTGGGGACAATTGTCCCAAATAAATGTAGGGAAAGTTCTGATCCCATGCATGTGTGGTACCTAGAGATGCCACATGTGTGGAGCTTCAGGCACAGCCCACGAGTGTTTGCTTTGTGTTGGTCCCTGGGTGCAAGGAACAATCACACCAGCTGCCCGAATATCCCAGCAAACAAAGGGAGAGTGGGAACGGGATAAACAGAAGAGCAGCACGTGGTGATAAATCCAAGCGTGATCATTGCAAAAGAACCACAAAGGTAGCAGGGAAACCGATAAACATCAGTAAAAGTGACTTATAAAGTGAAATGCATAGAAACAAATCTCTTAAATGTTTCCTGAACTGAATGTTCCCTAAAAATTCGGAAAGCTGCAAATCTTTATGGATAGCAGCCTTCCTGCTTGGCATCAGCTCAGCAGGGACGTGTGGAGCTGAGTGCAGGCACGGGGCAGAGGGGGAAATTCAAAGCAGGATGCTGCAGGCTGACACAGCCCCACTGCCTGCTGGCTGAGGGAGACAGATACAGGAGGATGAGATTCCAGCTGCTCCATCCAGACCTGGCACTATTTAATTCTGTGGGGATGGTGGAAGGAACCCCTCCATGGTGGAAGGAACAGATGCTGCCTTGGGAACCTCCCTTGTGAATAGGAGGAAAAAAGAGACAAGAAAAGGAGGAGGTGCTACATTAGGCAAGAGCCATTTGTAGGATGGGGGAACCACTGTTCCCTCTCCTACTGTTTGGCTGGGGCCTTTGGAAGTATTTGGGAAACAAGTCAAGGAAAAGAAGGTTCCATGTGATTTCAGATGGATGCTCCAGCTCTCTGCTGATCCAGTCACAGTTGGACACCATGATCTTAGAGGTTTTCCAACCTGAACAATTCCTTGATTCTATTGGGAAGACACAAAGCACCTTTTCCCATGTGATAAGGAAAGACTCCTGCATCCATTTGAAAGGAAAGGAACCAAATGACAGCAAGACTGAAACACTTTCCTGAATTACTCCATGGATCTGGTTCAGAGCAGAACATGGGACCACCATGAGCATCATTTCCTCCATGCTGTAAAAGCACATGATGGCCCAGAGGAAGCAAGGAGAAAAAAGCAGGAAAAAGACAATATGGAATTCCCATGGGACAACCTAAACTACCAAACTCTATGAATTAATAGCATGGAACAAAGAAATTGAAATTACATGGTTTTATATTCTGGTTAATAACTATATCCACTACTCAAGAGGAGTGGCCCCAATGCTCTGGCCTTTCCATCCTCACTGGATCACTTTTTTAAAAGTCAGATATGTTCATATGGAAAGAAAATGGGTGAAATCCATCTATCCTGCTCCAGTCACTCTGCTTCCAAAAGTTCTGGTTTGTATGAATTCCCCTTGCTACAGACAGTCAGGAAAAGCATGTTTCCCTGGGAAAATGATTTTTTTCATAATTCTGCAAGTTTCTGTGGTAGACAGGAGAAATATTCCTTCAAGAGTATGCAGAAATATATTAAAAAAAAAAAAAAAAAAAGAGAGAGAGAGAGATTTCCTTGGGAAGCAAAGGAAAAGAAAACCCCTAAACTATTTTGGAAAATCTGCTTATTTGTGTTCCTGTGTCTCTGCCACGAACTCTGGTAGAAGAGCCACTCTCACCACAGCCAGAACTGCACAAATGAGCAGATCATGAGCAAATCTTTGCCCTCCAAACCCACAGCTCACTCCTAGAGCTCTGCTGAACGTTTTCCAAGCCTGGGCGACAACGAGGAATTACCTTTGCTCCACAGATCTCACCTTTGGTGGTTTCACTCTCCCTGACGAGGAAAGAGCCAACTTTGTTCCCAGAAGACAACAGCAGCCGTTCAGCATCTTTTCTGCTCAGAGTTCTAAAATACCACCTGGGAGGCAGAAAAGGCAAAATCATGGCTTAAAAAGGAAAAACTCTTAAAAAAATGGAATTCTTTCCAGTTAGTTATTTTTTTAAAAAATCATTACGCTGTGAAACTGAAGGCTGTTTTTACCAGCAAGTCATTTTTTATCTTCTGGAAAGTGGCAGTAATAGATTGTTTTGGGTAGATTAACACCAGATTTGGGTCACTTTGGGCTTGTTTCACAGCCTGGGAATTCAGACAGCGTGGGGAGTAGATGAGATGTGCAGTATCCCAAACACAGGAGAAGTTCAGGTTTTGGATACAAAGAGCTTTTATGTCTCAGCCATATTTCTGTGCACTGTTGAAAATTTGCTGAACTCAGTGATGGTTGGGTTCCTCTGAGAAGAGATTGCAGGCAGGACTGATCATTTAGAGCTGAATGCCATAGAGGAGGATAACTCATGGAAAAAAAATCTCTTTCTGTTTGTATTATAGGCAAAATAAACTCTTTTGACTCCAGTCTTTCATTCAATCTTCCTTGCAGGGAGGCTGCACCTGGGCTCATTTAACAAACACCACTTTGGGTCTGGGCACTGGCACTCAGTTTTCTGTCTTGTTAAATTGTTGGTGTGGTCTCTGGCAGGTCCAAGACCTGGATCAGTGCATCCCATCCAGAGACTCCCAGTTTACATATGGAAACTCTCTTGGAAGGTGAGGAGGTTTAACATCATTTGTGGGGGTGGGACCAGAGGATGGTCCCTGGTTCTGCCACCATAACCTTTGTGGTGTCCCCTCCAAATCCTTGTTTTCCACAGTGGGTGCAATCAGTGGGAACCTTTGTCAGTCAGAACCTTTGCCCACTTTCCCCATAACAACCTCATCCTCCCTTTCCACACCAGTATGATTCTTAAAAACTTGTCCTGAGCTTTTTGGGCAGACCTTGTTGAGATCCAGGGCACTGTATGTGTTTTCCCACTTACTTTTCCTCTTCCAAAGTGTCCACTTGTGCCACGAAGTTGCTGGGGATGTATCCTTTCCTCCCAGTGCTGAGGGACTTTGCCAGCCACCAATCCCCCTCGCTGCAAAGGGAGCAGAGGAAAAGGTGTGAGTGCCCAGAGGAGGTTTTGTGACCAGCTGGGGCTGTGGGGATGTGGTTTGTGGGGTTTGAGCACTGCAGATGGACTAGGACTCCACAATCCACTCTGCAGTTCCCTCTGGATTCCCCAGGACCAAAACCAGGTTGGAGGCTGTTGATATTTCAGGTGGAGGTGACAATTTCTTTCCATGAACGTGGAGTAACCACAGACCCAAACCTTTGTCACAACCTCGAGTGAGAGGAGGGGCGTCTGTGTCATGGGGCTTATTTTGTCTCTTGAACAGGGCATTGGGGTCCTTTCTGCTCCTTCCCTTGTGTTCCAGACACCCCACCTTGCTGTCCCACTGCTGACTGAGCCACCATCCCCATGCAGGGGCTTCTCCATCTCCTTGTCCCAGCCCATGGCACCTGGGTGAGAAACGTCACCTCTGGAGGCCACTTCACAGAGCAGTCAAGGATGGAGGAGCCCCCCAGGGTCTGGGGGCCCCAAGCCCACCTTTCCTCTGTTATGGACTGGGCCTCTTCTGTGGGGAGTTTGAGAAGAAGTTGAAATGAAACCTCACGAGTGTCTGGCTCAGTTCTGTCCTTTCCTCTGACTACACCCAACCCACATCCTTTGCAGAAGCAGAATCAGCACAAACACAGGACAGGAGCTGTTTTTTGCTGTTGTTGTTATTTATGCTGCTTCTGCACCCACAGGCACTGAGGGTCCCAATGCCACACAGGCAGGGACAATACCCAGCCCCAGAATATCCTGACCCACAGAAGTGTCACCGTGCAGGGAGAAGAAGGGCACCCACAGCCACGCTCTGGAGCAAAGCCAAGGCTCAGACTCAGCTCTGGTCAGCTGCAAAGTGGTGGCTGACCCCAAGGTTCCCCCTTTCCCACCCTCCCTGTGCTCATTCTTTGAATTTCCTCCTGGCAGCAGGTCACTTACTTGGAGAGGACCTGGAGTTTCTCCCCCTTGACCAGCTCCAGGTCACGGTCACTTGAGGCAGGAAAATCATACAGTGCAACCACAAACAATTGATCTGGAAGAAGAATTCACTCCTTTGAATCCAGACTGTTCCTTGAGTGGCCTGATGCTCACCTGGGGGGATGTTGGGGCATTTCAGCCCCTAATCATGGGGCTCTGTGACCCTCCCACCCTCAATTCCAACCTTTCCACCAACCCAGCTTTCCTGCTCACCACAACATCAGCTCAGGGATTAGTACTGATTTAACAAAGCATTTCCTGTGTATTTTTAAAACAGTGCAGAACCAACCCCCCCCATCCACAAAATCCAGAGTGTCAATAAGAAAAGAGGGTTTGTGTGGAATGAGAAGGGTCATAAATAACCTGTCAGAGTTCAGCCTGAGTTTTACACAGTGGTAAATGAAAACTGCAACACTTCCCAGGGTGGCTGTGGAATTTGACTTGAAATGACATGGGTTTTTTGATTGAAAAAAGTAAAATGTCATTGCAGTTTCTGTTATTTGAGGCTGTTTGTAGGATTTATCTCTCCCTAGGCTTATGGTCTTTGGCCTGTGCTTTGGGCTCATCTGGTATCTTGTCATCCCTCCCTGCTGAACACTTTTCCTTGCAGATCATAGAATCAGTCACAGGATGGTTTGGGATGGAAGGGACCTTAAAGATCATCTCATTCCATCCCCCCTGCCATGGGCAGGGACACCTTCCACTATCCCAGGCTGCTCCAAGCTCTGCCCAGCCTGGCCTTGGACACTTCCAGGGATCCAGGGACAGCCACAGCTTCTCTGGGCACCCTGTGCCAGGGCCTGCCCACCCTCCCAGGGAACAATTCCTTCCTCACATCTCACCCAAACCTGCACTGTGCCAGGTTAAAACTGCTGCCCCTTGTCCTGTCACTATCTGCCCATATCCAAAGTGTCTCTCTCTCCTTTTTATGAGCCTTGTCCACGTGCCACAATGCTCTGACCCAGCCCAGGGCTGATCCTTGTGGGCTGGAGCTGAATCTCTTGGTTTGCAAACCTCAGAGGTGCTGGGGCTGCTCTTGGGGAAGCAGTGCAGCCCTTCCCCTGTGCTCTGCACGCTCAGAGCTGCTGAAGCAGAAAAGAGAAGCTATTTTTGGGCAAATAAAAATTTATAAAAAAGAATCAGCACATGCACAGGATCACAAAAATCAAAACAACGTGGTGAAAAAGAAAAGGAAAGGAGAAGGAGGGAAAGAAGGAGGAGAAGGAGAAGGAGAAGGAGACTGAGAATAAGGAGAAAGAGAAAAAGGAAAACAGAATAAAAATTAAAATAAAATTCAAAGGAAA